ACATAGTCTGGTGTAATATGGACCTAGAATATTAGTCTTTATAGGATGAAATCAACACTTCCCCTGGCTCAATTACAGAGTATCAGTGTTATATGGACTCTTTGTGTGATACAGTAAGCTAACAGCTTCATTCTGCAATAAATTCAGCTTGAGTCGTGTTATAGCGTAGCACCATCCATGTAGAATGGCTTGCAGTACTATAAGCTTGTGGTGAGAGAGGTGTGAATTACTACAGCATCAAAGTCTACATTCAGAAGTCAAGGTCACAGACTTCCTGTGGGGGAAGGAGAAAGCACTCTTGGTTACAGCTGTAATGTGATCAGACCTCTAAATTGCAAACCTGCTTGAGGATATACACCCTTAGTCAAAGGTGCTTATATGTATGATCAGTGCTGCTGGTTGTTTCCCCAAGCTGTAGACTTTGGATTGAGTTTTAACCACCTAGTTCTAATGCAAGTCATGGTCTCATTTAGATATAAGGTAATTTCATTCTGTTGGAAAAATCAGGCCAGATGGTGATTATGGAGGCTGTCATCAGTGTATGGAAGGCGCTTTGTCTCTTTATCCTCCCTAGTGTCCTCCCATGAACTCTGTATAGGAGGGGAAACTAGGGGGAATCCTGCAGCACCTCACATTGACAGAAACTTCAAAGCCATTCACCAAAAACAACTTTATGAGAGTTATTTCACATAAAGGCGTTGAGCTAGTCAAGAATGTCTCCATTTTCCTCCGCCAGGAGCCACAAATACTTAAGCAGCCCCATGTGGTCAGTGGAATCAGAGGCAGCTAGCTCAAAGATCTGGTATGGTAGTTCACATTCTTTTTCATGTCAAGATCACTTGTGACAACAGAAATGTTTCAGGACTTCATCCCTGCCATCTTTTCAAAAAGAAAAGAGCATTTGTAAGTCTGAAGGTTGGGAGCCCTCAGCCTAAAAAATATAATTATTAATTGCTAGGAAAAACATACTTGACCTTGTGTGTTTGATACAGTTTCTTTCCAGAGGATTGCACCATAGTTGCCTCAACAATGGGTTTTCTAAGTGGAATATTCTGTAAAGGTATATGTTTAGCAAGACTGTCAATATCAAAAGGTGCCTGGGCAAGAGACCTCATTAATGGCTTTCTAAAAGACAGACAGCTGACATCCCACCCAACAGCAGATGTTGACAATCTCAGCCATCAGACCATTACAGCTAATCATTATAGCTAATAAAACGTGTGGTTCTGATTCATAAGTTATAACTTGAATGCCTTCAGCCCCTACAAAATCTAAGTTAATGCTTGTTGAATAATGGAGTGTTATTGCTCTTCTGCCATGTAAACAGACAGCTCAGTATGAAACTTAATATTTTTATTTAGTCACATGAAAATTTGTCAATGTGAAAAAAAAATCTCCACTCTGTAATGGAGCTGTTTTATTATTTATATTATAATGGCATTTAAGAATCTAACCAGGGATGGAGTCTGTTTTGCTAGGAATCACACAGGGATCCTGTTTTTGTAGAATGGGGCATAAGGTGAACAGAGAGGTAAAGTGACTGGTCCAAGGTCAGGTATGGTCAGGAGAAGAGCTTAGATGTAGAATCCTGGTTTTCTGCATTCATTCATTGTTTTATCTGTTGAACTATTTCATTTATCAACAGTACAGAGGCAGCATGTAAAATAAAACACTTATAGTGAGAGTATGGTTTAGAAGTTGGTTAACCTAATATTGGCTGAAGTCATTTTTGAGGATTCAGGCCCTATAAAACCTGTAAAAACTTGACATGGAAATGAATGAGGGACACTTGAACAATACATTCAGGAGTTTTATAAGAAATACTTAAGGACAATGTTCATTCTTGTCAAAAGCATCAACTAGTCCCTCACTTCCTCTCATCCTTCAGGCACAGCCACCCTCTTTTTGTGGGAAAAGGATGCTTTTTTTCCTCTTAGAACCCATTACTGTTAGGCCAGGAGGAGTTATCTGCTGCAACTTTTTTTCTGTACCTGTTAACAGGCCAAAGTAAAACGAGTGCTATACTGAGTACCTTCAATATTCATTATATAAATTAGGTATTGAAAATGGTCTGCATCTGAAATAACTGGGCCTGTAGGAAGAAATATAAATGCCCTGGGATGGGGAGGAAATCGAAAAAATGTCAGAGAACAAGTATCTTTTTGCCATATTTGTATCCTGAAATTTACATTTATTCCCCAGGGAAAAAGACCAGACCCTCTCGTCCTGAATCCCCTACTGCAACTCCAAACATATCAGTGAAAAAGAAAAACAAAGATGGAAAGGGTGAGTACAGCAGTTGGAGTAGAATCCACATCACCTGAATTTTAAGTTGAATATCAGTTCTGGGCAGTACAGCTATGAAGCGAACCATGTTTTTCAGTTTGCCAAAAAAGTCTAGTGTTTTCACATGGTAAAGTGGAAAAGAATCAGTGCAGGAGACCTTTCATGGGAAAAATACTCCATTTTTCAGTTAAATAACAAGGGGTCTTGGAAGATCGTCAGACCCCAACAAGAGCTGTTCAAGTCAAGTCTGGAAGGATGTTTTTCACTCTAATGGGATTTCTTAGGATGCTGTTGCTGTGCCCAGTAACATCTTGATTCTCCATGAGGAGCAATCAAAGTTGACAGTTGAGTAGCGGGAAGAGCAGAAATTTTAAGGACACTGAAGCAACAGGAAGAAAACTGTCATAGCCAAGTTCCTCAGTACTTGCTGTCTTGCTCTAACTTACAACAAATTGCAGCAGTTAAAATGTGTAATGTAATTTGATTATCAGGAATTATTTTCTCTGAGATTAAACCGTTCAGAAATGTCAGCTTGCTTTACCAGTGCATTTCAGTTGTTTTCTTCTGGGTAAGACTTAACCCTGTCTTTATTCCATACAGGAAATGGGTAAAATGTAAAATATGAAGGATCATCCTAAACACCCAGATTCAGCAAAATAACGAAACGCTAACTTAATTTTCAGTGTCGTCAGTGGGACTTACCATATGTGTGTAAGTTCTTTGAACATGGATGAACTTAAACACTTTCCTGATTCAGGGCTAAAGTTACCAAATTCTCATTTTCTGTTAAGAAAGAGTTTGGTTGGAATTGCATCTGATGTTGGAAGGTTAGTTGCCTGAGGTTGCTATCAAACCTAAATTCAAGTGTGTTTAAAGACCTTGGTTCTTGGAGGTTATTAGTATTTTATGTTAATTAGGAAATTAATAAAACTTTTTGTTTGCTTTTCCTATTTCCTGAAAAGCTTTTTGTATTTATTTTAGGAAACACAATTTATCTTTGGGAGTTTTTATTAGCACTGCTCCAGGATAAAGCTACCTGTCCCAAATATATCAAATGGACTCAGAGAGAGAAGGGAATTTTTAAACTGGTAGATTCCAAGGCTGTGTCCAAGTTGTGGGGAAAACACAAGAACAAACCTGATATGAACTATGAAACAATGGGCAGAGCTCTCAGGTGAGTTATTGGCGGTTGATTAGTATTCATTGCATTCATTAGAAATAGATGCCTGTTCTCGTCTATTTTATAGCAATGAAGGGCTCTTACCAAACCTGAGCTCTGCTTTTGGAAATAAGGAAGGTATTTAGGAAAAGAAAAAGACTGAGGAGGAAAGGACCGTGCCTGAAATCTGAAAGTTGAGACGTATGCTGTTGGCAGATGTCAAATAAATGAAACTTGCTTTGTTGTCAGAAATTAGTTTTACAGGCTTTCCAAAGTGCTTAAAGTTACAAGTATATGTAGTGTTGTAGATAACTAGCAAATTTAGAACTTTCCCTTTTTATTGACTCTAAACTTCCTTGTATATTTCTTTAACATGGATAATATTAAATAGCTTATTTTTAAATTAATGCATTTTACTGAAGAAGCAAAATTTCCAAGTCTCACATAATGCATTATTCAACTTGTGTGAAGTTCTTTGTTGTTTTATTTGTTTTTTACATTGAAAGAAATACAGATAGGTCATCCTCGACCTAAAATAATCAGCCAGCTCCCATTTGCTAATGGAACAGCTTCACTTCAGTTGTAAAAACTCTTGAAATATTAATTGTATGTAAATTCAACACAGGAATTTCCAATTCCACCAGTTCTGTTCCTGAATATTATTGGTAATTGGTATATCTGCCACTGTGGTTAATAATGTGAGAGGGCTCAAGTCGCCAGTACTTCAAGGTCAAGCACAAACCCAGTTGCAGGATTGAAAAGACTGTGTGGAAAGCATTTGCAAAACTTAAATTTTACTTCCCTCATCAACTAAACTTAATTCATGTGGCCTAACTGCATTAACCTTAAAGTGTGCCAAATGCCCCATTTTCCAGTATAAAAGGTGACATTGTTGCACACCTTTGAAATTAAGTTCTGTGTATAATTCTCCCGGTTTGCAAGTACATGTGTTAGAAAAGCAAATAGTCATATATGTTTGCCTGTCAGGTTAGGAATTTGTTCATGCAGAAAATCTTTTGTAAAACAAGGTGAACAGTTACACAAACACATGGGCACAAGCCTAATTTTTAAACATCCTCCTCCTTGATTGAGACTGCTAAGCACTACTATAATATACAGAAGAAATAATTTGCTTAAAGTACCTTCACCATTTCCACCTCTCACCAACTTTCTTGGAAGTCAGAGATGTCAAAATCACTTTGTGTCTTGGGCTGGATCTGGCCTGCTGGGCTCCTTGTGGGTTGGATCCAGCCTGGGGCATGAAGAAGTGGTGGTAGTGCCAGTGATGGCAGCTTTGGCTTCTACCTGTGGCATGCAACAGTCCTTGTACTGAAGCCAGAACTGCAACTGCTACGTGTCCTTTGCCATGGTGGGAGTTCTAGCTTAGGCTCCACATGGGGTTCACAGAGGGAACCGGCAGCTGGGGAGGTGGCAGCAGAAGCAATGGTGGGCAGCCAGGGCTGTGTCAGCCTTTGCTTGCCTTCTTGCCATGTTTACTGAAGCTCAAAGGCCCTGGATTCTGTGGCAAGCCACATCCCCAAGATGTTGCCAAAATATTGCTCTTTTATCAAAATGTAATTTTAATTTTGGTAACTTTGATTGCTGTGGTATGGAGCATAAAGTCAAAGGGCTACTGGAAATGTCAGTAGGTGGCAATTTTGTTTTTTAAAACTTGCTGTTTAAACTTGGCAAGTCTTTATTAACAAAAATATAAGTTGGTTTGGGGGGAGGGGGTTTTCCACTTCTTTTTTTGATGATAATTTACCTTTTCTTGTCGTAAATTGTACTAAAAACTTGTTTATGTGTCTGCTTGCTTTGAACAGATATTATTACCAAAGAGGCATACTGGCTAAAGTAGAAGGTCAGCGCTTAGTGTATCAGTTTAAAGACATGCCAAAAGATCTCATCTATATAGATGATGAGGACCCAAGCCCCAGCAATGAGCCTTCAGATTCATCTTTTCTATCATCAACTGCAACCAATAGAAACCAGTCAGGCAGATCTAGAGCATCTTCAAACACAGGAACCAAAGGAGGATCCACCCCAGGTCTAAAAACAGGAAACTCTAAGTCTACTAAACTTAAGGAGCACATAGAAGTTGTACAGCAGCAAACACCTAGCTTGCCATCAGAAGTTTTGAGGACAGTGCAACCTGCACAGCAAATACATCCAACTCAGCTTTTTCGGACAGTTCACGTAATGCAGCCAGTACAGTCCATCACAGAAGGGCATGCCACTGTCACCAGTAACATTCAGGATGAAACATTGAATTCTTCTGTTCACAACATAAGGTAAGAAACTAAAGAAAGCTGTTTTATGAAAATACTTATAACCAGTGAAAATTCCTTGGTTTTAATGTTGTGAGAGCCAAGAATTGCTTTGCCAATACATTGTATTGGATCAGCTGTACAGGTGGAAGAGATGTTAGACAAGCTTTTAAGCATAAAGTACCTTTTTAAGGTCTGGGAAAGAAGTAGACACAAGTCAAGTAACAGAGCAGCACTTTTCTGAAAGGGGCAGAGATTGAGTCATTTGCAGAATGGCCTCATAACCATGTTTTTAAGCAGCGTTATCTGCAGTTCAGCCCTCACTGAAAAATGGATGATAAAGGAATTGATAAGAGTTTTAAGAGACAGAGTACTGAGGAAATAAAGATTTTTCTATACATATAAAATAGGGCAGGCCAATTTTAATTTCAACATAACACAGTTAAGGATGTAAATAATTTTAAGTACTGTAGCTGCCTTTTCTGATTGGAATCACTCTGTTAATTGTTGTTAATGTTATGTATTAAATTGCCTCTCTCATAGGGCTATACAGAAGCTTATGTAGTTGACCAGAACTGGTCAGTTAATCAACAATGAGAGGAAACAGCAAAAAGATATTAATTCTGCTGTGCTGTGATGTTTTGGTTATAGTATTGAAAGGTGGTGTAACAATTAGATTGAAAGTTTCAGGCAGTGTTATGATTTTTAAAAGTTGACAATATGCATTTAGTTGGGTCTTTAATTCTTAATTTTAGAAGTAAATTATAATGATGTTAATAATCATAACAGTATCTTGGAACCAGTTCAAGAGAGAGAAGGTACTTCTGATCCAGAAGTTCAGATAAATGGTATCATGAGGACTTTGGCAGCATATCAAAAGGAAAGCATGTACCATAGAGGGCTGCTTATTTTCTACAGACAAAGCAACCTCTGAAGTTTGCTTACAGCTTTTAAAATATATATATATATTTTTAATGTACTGAATTAAACACTAAAATGAACATGGATTTTTTACATACCAGTTTTATCATAACAGTGACAATTTTATCTTACTGTTGCATATCTTTAATGATCCTTCATTCCTCAAAGAGATCTAAAACCTAAGAGTATTTAGGCAAGGGACAGCCATTACACACAAATCAGTTTAGGTGATCAGAAACTGGTTTAAACCTATAATGGAATGGACCTTCAGTGTACACAGACCAGTTTCAAAATGGCCAAAACTGGGTTGAGATAAACCTGGTTGAATGTAGATCAGACTTAACTGATTTGGCTTAAACCAGTTTATGCAATGTTTGTCCCAGCCCCCCTTGCTGGTTTAAGTTAATCAGAGTCCCCCAGCATCCTGGCATGCCTTCTGGACTGGGCAGGGCTCTCTGCTTCAGCCCAGGTCTGACCCTGCCCTTCTGCTCTCTAGCCTGAGTAGGGATGGCCCTAGTGGAGACACCAGCTGACATGGCCCTGTTAAGGCAAAGTGGACAAGGAGGGGGTTAATTCTTCACTGATTCCCCATTTTCCCCACCACAGCCGGGTTCAGCCTGTCTTCTGAGGAGCAGAGGGGAGGGGGCTCCAGCAGTGGCCCTTGGAGCTGGCAGACCCTAGCTGCAGGGAAGGGATGGAGGAGGAATGAACCCTTCTCCCTGCCCTCTTCACCTTAGCGAGGCCATGCTGGGTTGGTTTCCCACAGGATGGGAAGGGAGGCTCTGCTGCATGCTGGAAGTGACTCTTCCCCATCCTTCTCCTCCCCTTCCCCCCCCCCCCCCCCCCCCGGGGGGGGGGGGG